ACGACGCACCACTTGTTCGCCTCCAAACCCCTTGAGCGTTCTTCGTCGGGTTACCGGGCCAGATACGGAAATAGCGCTCAAATGACCCGTACGAATGGAAACGCGCTTTGCCGGGATATCCGAAATGGCAATCGGTCGCCGGTGCGCTAACGTTCTATGATTAACGCATGGGATGCGGTAACAAACAGTCTTCACATACCGATACAGGTTATTGACCGCCACCCCGCCCTCCCATGGAAACCACCACTGGCAACGATTCGCGTTCGAGCTGCGAGTGTACAACTCCTCGGAGATAGCTACGACCCGCCGGCAGTAATCAGGATTGCGAACCTTGGTGACAGTGTCACGGACGACTGTAGCGATCAAGCTGTCGCATTGGGCAACCTCAGTATAAGAGAGCATGTAGGCACATAGAATGTGCACGAACCCGAGATCGAGCTTGGCTTCCTCAGGGATTTTATCGGAAAAGCTCGTGAGGGTGATGTTGCCTGCAGAGGTGCCGGGCGGGGGGGTGTAGTCGAATCCAGCTGCCGCCTTCACCCCACGGTACTGGTCGAAGGTCAATGCGAGCGAAGGAGAAGAGGCCTGCGAACGTACATTGACGACGTTCATGAGCCATCTGGCCGGAACCCTCTCTGTGCGGTTAAGAACAGTAATCAAGTAAGCCACTAGAGCGTCTTGCGTGCTGATCTTGACCCTGGCGTGCCTCTCTGCCATGGCGCGCATCTTCTGCAACTGATCCTTTGTGAACTGTAAATCGACTCGACAGGTGCTATCGAGCATCTGCGTGTACATAGCAAAGAAGTGCTCCGGTGCATAATCAATGGCCAGATGAGGGACCAGTGGGATTGTTTCGACCAACGCAGACTGTTCGAGAGTAGGCGGCTGCGCAGTATACTTTTCGAAAGTTGGCATGGTCCGAGGTTGGAGGCCGAGGTAATGGTGGTGCAAATTATCACAAAACTGGAAAAGCGCCAGGCCATCGCCTGACGGCGAGTGTCAGCATACCGATGACCGAATGGCAGGGGAAAATATCGTCGCACCAAGTACATGGCACCAGCTCGCGGCGAAGCTTGACTCGTTTGTGGCTTCCCAATAGGTGTATTTACATCTAAGCAGTGGTTCGTCGTTGTTGCTGGTGGGAGCAAAACTCCACGGGAGCTGGTCTAGGAAATCAGGGTGCCATTCTTGCATGAACTCCACTTCAGGTCTGGGGTCCACTGAGGTGCGATTGAAGGTGATAGGAACGGCGGAATTTGTTAGGGCAATGCGCCATTTCCCAGTTTTTGGGTCAGACCGAAGCCGGCCGGCAGCGTGAGGGTAGTCATGGAGAGTGGCGGCGAATGCCTTTTTGAGCATTTCGAAGTCCAGAGGTCCAGGGAAGAACCACCCTCCGTCAAGCTAACGCGGTGTCAGCATCGGTCGTTGAGACATAGAGGATGTATCTAGGGCTTACGCTGGCAAAGATCAGATCCGTTCCGGGAACGGGTAGTTGGTCGAGGTCGCCGAGCACGGTGGGTACAACGGGCTTCACCCAATGCACATCAGGTGAAACTTCGTGCGATCCTAGCAGGATGCCTTTGGGAGTCTGATGAAATTCCGACATGATGAGTATCGCGACGCTCAGGACGTTCAGTTTGGACGTACTTATGATAGTCTGTGCGTCGCCCGGGTGAGTTTCATGTTCATTGCCAACATCCATATCCACGAAGTCTGATTCCACTGCCTGGGCCTTCTGAATCGGCACTGTTGTCGGCGGAGGTTTGGGATCGTGACGTTTATGAGGCGCTGGACAGGGTGCCGTGTTCCACTTTTTCGTTGGGGTCCGACCACGAGTTACCCACGCCGTAGATGAGGGGGCATCCGATGGCGGAACAGCGTCCAACCGCCGGAGCTGTCGCGCTGGTCTGACAATCGCAGAGTCCACGCTGCATGGAGTCGGTCAGGCCTTCTTCCTTGCCGAAAAGAGGGAAGGGGAGGATTCGGTGGATAACAGTGGTAGAGGAGGAACAAAGGAGGAGCTGCCCGGAATCGGGCTGGACCATGCGGTGCCGATGGTATATGTGTGCTATCCGAATCCTCTGCGTGGGCGGTCGCGACTGCTCTGACGAGGGCAAGGTCTGTGACTGTATGAACGATGCAATCATCACTCGTCTCCTGGACTAACGTACCGCCTTCGCTGCAGATGCAATCAACGCACATGCTGAGCCCTGTATGTTGCTCGTCGTTCTGACCCAGTGGTCCTGCAATACGTTCGAACACATTTATTCTGCTTTCAAAGTCGCGTCGCAAGTTCTTGGAAGACCTTGTCAACGTCCGTACCCTCTCGATCAGCGTGGATCCCATCACGGAAGCTTTGCCTATACATAAACAAGGCATGAATCACTGCGGCGCGTTTAGTCGGCAGGAAGAACATACGAAAGGAAATGTGTTACATTCAAAGTAACTATTCGCGGGTGCAGTCGTATCAAACCCTGCGGACTGACATATGTATATGGATCCAAACTTGCGCTCCATCTCGTCGCGCTGAGCGTTGTCGACGACGCCGACCGGAATGGCGACGGACCGCCGCCAAGACAGAAGGGCTAGTGTGCCCGCATAATGACCGTCCGAGACGTGATTGATTATATCTCGAGGATCGGGATCAGGGCGAAGAATGGGCGAAGGCCTGCCACGTCGCCGCTCGCGGTTACACAAGTGCATACATATGCTCAGACCCGGCCTCGTCCAAATTGATGGAGTCTTATTCTGTTCCGCTTCGTTCTCATCCACCGGCCACGACGAGCCATACGAATAATTCCGCATGTTTCACCCTGATTTCTGCTGACGTCTTTCCCGAGACCCGAGTTCGACTCTGTGCGCGCTTCTAGCCCGGTCTCGCAAGACTCGCGCCCCTGGCCCCTAAAGAACTGCAGAACCGCGGAAGGAAACCTTGAAGGCCAAACTATACCAGCCATTGACCAGCCCTTGACCAGCCCACCACTACTAGCCCCGAGAGTTTCGGACCCGAAGATGAACCCGTTGACATTGCGGAGGCGACTGCGGCACCTTACCCGCACCGCCGCGCAGGACAGGCTTGTCACCGCCCTCCGCCTTTCCTGGCTAGTGCTTGTGTTCTGGTCGGAAATTGGCTCCTTATTTTGGCGACTCTCGTCGTGCTCATGGCCGGATTCCAGCCTCAACTCGTCCGTGAGTAGCACACTCCAGCTGCGTGGCTTGCATAGAGCTGATATCGGATGTCCGGCAGAAGAAGGGAGGGAAGAAATGGGAGAAAGGGGAGGACAAGACGGAGAAGGATATGAAGAAGGGCGGGGTTACTCATGTCTTGCTTGTTGCGGACCCGCAGCTGCGCCATCCAGTGATATACGGGAACTCGCTGTCGTGGCGGCAGACGTTCTGGGAATGGATGCGCACCGTCAGCCTGAGGCGGAGGTGGAAGGCGGCGTTGGGAATGAAGAAGCCGGATAGAGTTATCATCATGGGTGCGTCGAGTGTACATGTATCTAGAAACTCGACCGTGCTGACTGTGGATGTAGGTGACATGATGTTGGGGAGAGAGATCATGACGGACGAAGAGTGAGCACTGCCTACCCTTCATTGCCTTCGTGTTAGTGAATATCATTTCGACGTTTCTCAGATACGATCAGTATTTCCAAACGTTCCTCGTCACTTTCCCCTCGAAGTCCATCCCGGTACACTACATACCCGGAAACGACGATCTCGGGTAAGCCCGTTCTGTACAAGCCATAAAACGGATTAAACTCACGCAGATGTCTCACAGCCTCGGGCCCTCCCCCACGTTCTCGAAGCACGCCCGCCGGCTCTATACGTCCCACTTCGGCCCTCCGAACCAAGCCCTGTCCGTTGCGAACCACACGCTCGTTCTCCTCGACGCGCCAGGCTTAGTCGAGGAGGACTACCGGCGCGTCGCCGCTAAGAAGGGATTCGACGAATGGGTGTCATTCCCCGGCGGTGCGCTCGACCTCATCCAGACTGTCGCGGAGCGGGAAGAAGACGGAGATGTGACGAGGCCGGAGGAGCCCGTGATACTGTTCTCGCATATCCCATTGCATCGACCTGAGTGCGTATATGCGTTGGTTCTGGTACAGCGCGCAATGCTAATATACCTGACATGACAGGTCTGCCTCATGCGGTCCGCTGCGCGAACGCGGCCGGATTCGTAAAGGCGTTGGATATGGATATCAAAACACTCTCGGCAAGCAAACGACGCAGTGGATACTGAATGTCCTCAAGCCTGCCATGATCTTCAGGTTTGGGTCTCCTTCACTTACCCCACTCATGCCCCTTTTGCTCTTCATCCTTGTCGCGCGCAAAGGCTGACGGGAACCCGACTACAGTGCTGACGATCGCGACTACTGCGACTACACGCACGTCTCGCCTTCCGCCCCCTCCTCCCCCCGCGTACGCGAAGTCACCGTCAAGTCCTTTTCTTCCGTCCGGCACATCCGCCACCCGGGCATCCACCTCCTCTCGCTCTCCCCGCCGTCTACCTCCGCTCATCTCTCGCCCACCTTCGCCGATGCGCCCTGCTTCCTCCCCGACGACTTGCGCAATATCCGCGGGACCTACACCCCGCTCGCGCTTCTCACCTTCTTTGTGCTCCTCATTGCCCACATTTACCGCCTCAGCTCGAAGGGCAGGGGAAAGCCGAAGTTGCGCTTGGATTCGGCACTCTCGACGGGCAACGGGCAGGCGAGGAGCGGCGGCCCGGTGATGCTCAGCGCTCGCATGCCTGAGTCGGCAGTGTGGTCCCCCATCTCGCCCGCGCTCAACAGCGTCAGCATGAACGGAAGACCACCACGCAGTCCGCTCCCGAGACCAATCGGCGTCGGTGCCGGCGTACGGACGCCTAGCATAGGAGGGGAGGGATTGAGCACGCCAACGCTGCGCGCGGCATCCGTGCCCGGCACACCACTTGCAAGCTCGAGATTCAACGCATCGCGGGCGCCGTACGATGTCGAGGACGACGAGGAAGACCACGATCCGATGTCACCCGCCCAGTTTGCCTACCGGCGCGATCAGCACGAGATGAACGGATACGGCGCGCCGCACCACGTGCCGGACGACGACGACGAAGATGACGAGTACGTCGACGAGGAAAAGGACGCGGGCGCCGGCTCTTATTTCCTCCCCGCGCCCGGCTCGAGGGCGGCCCAGAACGCGAACCGGCGGTGGGCTTACACGTTCGAGTTCCGCGGCAGGCGGCGAAGGATCGCATTGCCCGGTTGGCTGGTTGCTTTCCTCGGCGATGATGCCGCGGATGGGTTGAGCGCGGGCTCAAGGCGTAGGAGAGCGATGCGTATACTCGGGGTGGTCATGAGGAGGACCGCTGGTGTGCTCTGGCCCGCAGGACTGCTATGGATTATCCTGTTGTGGTGGACTTCCTAGGGCGTTCGTATCCATGGATTTGTGGGATGTGATGTGTTGTTCTTCATGTGAGGCAACACAGTTCCCAACGCCGGCGACGCACTTACTTGGCCTAAGCACCTTCTTTACGCGAGGAGGGCAAGTATGCAGCTCTTGGACGAGCAGGCCATGCATATGTGGTGAAGGCCAATTTCTGAGCATTCTTTTTTTCGATACATGTAGTTATCATAACGACGTCGTATGGTCGCAAGATATAGCCGTTCATCGCACATGCGGTTACCACAATCGCTGAGATTTGTCTTACTCCTACCTTGATACCACCAGTCTCACACCCTGCGCGCTATCGTACAAGCAGTGATTGACCTCCATATCGTCAAAAGCTTCAGCCCCGAGGCGGACCATGCTTCGCATCATTCATGCCGGCCTTGAGCTAACCCTTCACAGCAAGGATTAGTCATGTGGAATCAAGAGGCGACCTCAACATACCGTAACCGTGGTACGGAGGAGGTGAACGCAGCCCCGGCATGCCTGTATAAGAGATGGGCACTGTCTCCGGTGTGTGGCCGATGCCTACGGGCAAGCCGTCCACGCCTCCGGACGCCCTTTCGCGACGCGGATGCGGGTACCTCAGACGAGCCGGCGACGGGGGCGGAGCGACGATATGCGCGACAGCTCCGGGCCAAACGGCCTGAACTGAAAAGTTGGGCTGCGATGCGTCCCGCTTGCTCGATATGTCGATTGCATTGTTGGGAGATGGCGCGGCACAGACGAACAGCGCCTCCCTCGTCTGACGCTTCCAGTCGAAATAATGCCCCGGCGGGATCATGACCTCGTCGGGATCCGTGGCCTGCGCTTCCGACGTGATCTCCGATAAGGTAACGCGCGCCCAGACACTCTCCCGCGTCAGGTTCTGGACGCGAATGGGCCGGACCGCGATGGGCACCTCACGGGGGGAAAGTAGGTTATCAGAAAGGCGGAGCGCCAGTGCGGCCAAGGTAAGCGAGGGACTCGCGCCAGGCGAGTGTGGGAAGACGGAAAGGTCACAGACATAGACATTGCTCCAGCCGTATTTCATTTTAAGGTTGGAGTCGACAATTCCACCATCGTTGGCGTTGTCAGGCATCGGTATCGTGCCCAGTTCGTGCGCGTAAGTTCCGGGCGGGAGCTGTTTGAGCTTTATTTTACTATCCAGATGTTCAAGTTCGATGATATCGAAGATAGGGTTGGAAGGATCATCGTTCGTCTGTGCGAGATATTGAAGATCGAGTGTGGTGGCTATCGCCTTCATCGACGCAAGCGCGAAACGGAACATCACGTCCTTCTTCTCCCGGAGATGAGGGACATCTGCAAAACCAACATTGATAACCGGATGTTGTCCAGTCTCCTCGAGTCTGACGGAATTTTTCTTTGCCAGCTCAGCTGGCAGTACGAAGACAATCACAAGCTGAGGGTATAGGGTGGCAGTATGACATCCGCGAGGAAGGAAGGACTCTGTGTCTATAGAAATGGTGACAAGTGCGGGCTCCTGCGCATGGCCGCCATGGTCACGAAACGTGATGTCCGTCTGTAGCATCATGCCGCCGAGCGCCGTTCTGTAAACGTCATTCATGTATTGAAACGGCAGTGTCACATAGAGCATGTCGTGTTCTGTAAGATGCCCAAACTCCTCGGTGAAATTGCCGCCGTAATGCCCTGTATCGCCTTTGGAGACGCTTCGCAGTAGGATGGCAGCGCTCTCGACGCTGCCAGCACATAGGATGATATTTTTGGCCTGAATCTTGAACTCCTTTGCCTCGTTGTCCTCCTTGTCTTTCTGCTTCACGATGACATGCGCGGTAGGTAAACTGCGTCTTTCCCGATCCGCGCTCTCGAGATCGAGAGGTTGCGGCTCCAGGCGGTGAACTTGTGCATTCAACAGGATGTGGGCGCCGCCAGGGGCTACGCCACCAAGGTTGACGGGAGTGTCCTTCTGTGGATGGTTGTCCATGGCCGTTGTTAGAAGGCGGTCCGCGGTGCTGAACGCGCCTTCCGCGAAGGTGAAGTTGTGATCGTCCCTGAAGCGAGAGGCAACTCTCCCCCACTGCCAGTGCGTGGTGGGAAGAGGCCATGCGGCGCTTCCCTGCTTCGGCGGGTCGTTATCCACGCCAAGGTTCAGCTTATCAATGAGGAGCTGATGAAGAGGTAAAGTGGAGGGGTAGGAAAGCCGCAATATCCCTTCCGCTTTTCGATAGTACGAGCCCCCGGGGTGGAACAGATCGTCACGAACCGCTTTGGGCCAGTGAGCGTCCAGTGTCTCGTGCGTTATTCTGTCAGCGGTTCCATCAGCCCCGACTCACAAGTAATGGCACGCGCACGCACCTCGGCATGGACAAGCCCCACACCGTGCTTCGGCCTCCTAGGGTGAAGATAGCCCCACCTTGCCATCCGGGAGGCATTTCTTTGTCTTCCGCAAACTCGCACTTGAATCGTTGGAAAAAGATGTCATTGGCCTGTTCCGCGGATTTGGGCGTGGGACGAGGGCCATTCAAGCTATGGGACTGAAAGATGATACCGCCCCGTTCGATCACAAGGATCCTTCGAGGCTTTCTCCTAGAGGTCCCCGCACTCGCGACAAGCTGAAGGTTCTTCTCGATGAGGTCGGACGCGAGCACGCCGCCCCCCATACCAGATCCAACAATGATGATGTCGAACGGTGTCGTCTCCGATTGCGCTGCGGCTTCATCAGGCTGCACCGCGTCGGAGTATGCCTCCTCAATGCTTGCACAGGGCCTTGGTCCGAACATGCTGTGTCCGAGTGCAGACTATGCGATAGGGATGGCGAGGGCTGATATGGGGAGCGACAAGCCAAAAATTATGTATGTCCGATGAATCAAAGTTCGAGACGCCACGCCAGGGCACGGTGATAGAGACCGTATTCTGCCACTCGACGGGCAGATCCGATGAGTCGTCCAAGGAAACGCAGGAGGCAAATGGTTCCGGGGTGTGAGACGTCTTCAGCTTCATGGGCTGGAATAGTGGTCGGCAAAGCGGCGGAACCTGATGGTGCATACAGCGAGTGAGTGGAAAAAAGGACGGAGGGAAGCTAGTGGCAGGCACCAAATGTAGTTGTGTACCGTTGAAGCTGGGGGGTCAAACTCTGTGCATCGTGGTGTGAACACATGATGTGCCATATCACCGACGCTCCTGAAGGTATAGAGTTCATGTTCGACGGAATGTTCGAAAGTCTATATCCATCGTGTGGCCTATACATATGCGGCGGACTTCGCAAAGGCGATGGAAGGGGCTCAGGTCCCAGGGTGGTATATATACCAGAAGTACACCGGGTAGCGGTTTGTAGGCTCCATGAGGTGAACGCGTGGCGAGCCTGGAGACACGAAGTTGGTGTTCGACGGGACCTTCCAAAACCAATGGCCATGATATCGTCTATACATATGCATAGACTCCGTCGCAATGTTCATCCGCCGATCTAAAATCGAATGTGAGTATGGGTCATCACCGATAAGAATGCAAATTCACGTATGTGTCGCGCCAACTGTACGTGGCTGCGCCATTGCATTCTGCCGAAGCTTCCGAGCCGTCGTCGAGATCGAAGACGCCGTCAACACCGGGTTCCGCGATGCCATTAGACTTGCCCGAGAGGATATAAAGCTCGGCAGAACATCTGGAAATTGCCTCAACCCAGGAGGCAGCCGCGTGCCTCACGTGACCTCCTTTGAGTCACTGGGAGACGCCCGAGGTAGTGCGTGTGCTTCCGGAGGTCGTAGGAGGTCGCGTGCGTCTCGCGACTAAGTCCTCAGATGTGGCAAATGCCACATCTGCTTGAATTTCTCTCGCTGCTGTTGCTCCATTCCCACACGTACCTTACCGCCGTCCGCTTTTTGAAGGCGACGCTCAGCATGAATGGCGCTGGCGTCCTCACATCCGCCCACGAAGAAGACCGGCCACATCATAGGCCATGACGTATGGGCTTGCGCTGGGCGCGCACCTCTGTACGTCACATTGGCAACTCTCCCTGACACACTCGCCCTCAAAGCCGCTTATATAGAGACTCGCAGCAGCTTGCCATCGACAACGCCGGCGCGGGGGCATGCCATCGACAACACAGGGGCGGGGGATCACCATGGCTAGCCATCAACAATACCGGTGCAGGGGCTCGCCATCGACTAGGCGGGCACAGCAGCAGCACAGCGGCTTGTCATCGACAACGCAAGCGCAGCGGCTCGGCGGACGTAGCACCTCATCATCGACAACACGGGCGCAGCAACTCGCCTTTGATCGTGTACATCAGAGGATCACAACCGACGTGCAAGCCTCAACACGGCTGTGGGAGTTTTTCATCATTGTGCGCCGGTTTTTCTCGTGTACATATATTCTGCTTGCTATGTAACAGTATTTGAAGGCTATCGAAGCTGCGCATCAGGCTGTCGTAAGAGAAAGAAAGTACGAATATTAATCCAAGGATTAAGGTAAACTCTTTTACATTGTGTTAGTACGGCTTCGCGCGTCCATGACGTGTCCGTTTTGGTTCCGAATTGAGGGATAAGGTGGCAAGAGCCTGCGATACGGTCGAGTGGAATGACTTCGCCCACAGGCTGTCCTCCGCGCATGGCCCGAGTTGCTGTGAACATTCCACTAGGCTCGTCCGGACCATTAAATGGCCGAAACCACTGGATATAAGCCAACCGGACTCTTGCGGATGACCGGATGAAGTACTGCGGTAAGTCAAAGATAGCATGTACTTGTGCGGCTTGCAATCCTGATGTATTGTTATGCAGCTTCACATATATAAATGGGCCAAATCTGACGTACCAGCAACGACATTCTCGGATGTGCTGCCATCTGCTATGGCCGGAACATGTATGAGAGCCGTATCGAAGTGCGATGGCGCTTGTTTCAGAATGTTGTTCTTGGGAGCTCCGGGAAAGGCGCGAATCTTGTCGAAGGACGGCGAGGAGGCGACTGGGGTTGGAGGAAGAAGAAGGACAAGCTGTTTGTAGAGGTCAAAGCGGTCGGAATCATTGGGTATTACATTCGCGCTATCAGCACGAGTTTTCAGGTATGTCTCAAGCGCAGAGAGGAATTGTACGGCATGGTGCTTCTCGACGAGGTGTGCAACACTGATGTTTCGCAGGGGCGGCTCTACAGCAATCTTGTACTTGCACGATGCATCAGAAATTGCGGTCACCAACTCCTCGCTCTCCTGATCGGCGCCATTTGGAGCGGAATTCCCTCGAGATGTGGCATCATCTGAAAACCGTTGCAGACGCCAATCCAGGTAGGCATCATATTGATCGACCGCTTCCTGTCGCATGAGCCACTTCGTCATTTGCTGCGTGTAATCTTTCTTATTTGTAGCCCTATACGCATCCTTTGCGTAGTCGATATGGAGCCGTTCAGACGCCTCGGTATTGTATCCATCCATGCAGCCGATACAACGTATCATAGGGATGTAGTGCGCAAGGGAGTGAAGCTTCGGAATGTTGAAATGCTGCCGGATTCCCTGACGGACAAAAACGTCCTTGTAGCGATGGAAGTCGTCAAAGGAGTGCTGCATGGCTGAGAGGGTCCGGTCGGTGTGCTTGTGGAATTGTGCATAGTAGATGAAATCAAGTGCCGAACGTGCGGCCCGAACTACGTCTTGCGAAACGGCTCCGGAGATGACCCCAACAAGCAGTTTCTCCATCTCCTTATGCTCCTTCCCCGTCCACTGCTTGACATGCGATATGCCATCCTTGAAATAACGAAGCCCCCAGAAATCGGACATGAGACGAAAACGTTCATCAAGCTCGAGTTCTCCAAGATAGCCAGCGGCGAGTGTGCACCATCTGACCAAGTGGTCTTTGAAGAGGCCTTTGTGAAGCTGATGAAGAATATCCGGGCTGATGCACATGAAGATATCGCAGTGCGGGAGGTCTTTCCAGAACGGTTCATAGATTGGCCGGAGGCCCTCGTCCTTGAATGCCGCTACTCTGGCTCCAGTACGCTTATGCTCTAGAATCTTCAATGTTCGCTTTGGATCGCGGGGCTGACCCGTTACTGGTTCTCCACGGCGCGTCGGCTCAATGCGGCACTTGGGGCAAAAGTTCTCCTGACACGCTGCCACGAGGCACTGCTCTGGATGATCGGCGATATATGCAGCTAGTATCGGGAAGACTCGACGGAGGAACCCATCCGCACATGTCATCAAAACCCCGTTACGACCTGCAGAGACGAGAGGCTCGAGGATGCGTGACATACAATGATGGAAGAGACGATATCCCCCGACAGATCTTGTCGAGTCCGAAAAGCATGCGAGGCTGGCAACGGGTATGTAACCGACAAGGACTGTTGCATGTGACGAAACCTTGCGTCGAGTGGCCTTTTCGATATTCCCAATGGTAAGGTAGACTGGCCAAGCGGACTTGTCTCCTCTGAAATTTGACAACTGTGTCTTGTCCGACGACAGGATAACTGGTGTGACGGTTGCACCTTCCGGAAGGCGATCCTATATAGTGTATGTGATTAGTTCACGGCTTTGGAGACTACTAGTGATGCCATTCATACCTGAATGTTCCACCACCAATCACCAGTCCACATCTCATCGTATAGGCGAACCTTCCCTTCCGCATCGGCATACACCTTCTCCGGCACATATGACATTAAGTCTTTGAAGGCAGGGTTGCCAATGAGATCCCGTACACAGTCGACAGGATTCCGGCGCCAAAGCTCGACCTCTTCGGTGAGTAGATCACCGTCGTCTCCATGAAGGTCACCTGCAATTGTGATAGTGTCGCATGTCCAGCCAGGTCCATCGGTGGGGAGTCCATCGATACGCTCAAAAAACGATTTCTTGCTTGTAAACGATGGAGCTATTTTGTCTTTTACCTAAGGTAAACTACTTCAGAGCCTTGTTCTGGACACGGAAGCTGATCATGGGAACGCACAATGGGCAGCTTGAGAAAGTTCTCAAGCTGATTCTGCCCGACATTTCGCAGCAACCACTTAGCCAGCTCCCACTCGCCCTTACTCTCAAATCCACCCCACATCCCATTCGTAGCCTCCAATTCTTGAATCTTTTCAAATGGTGTTGCACGTTTCTCTGTGCTTATTGGTACCCCAGCAGGCTTCGGATATAGCTCTGCATAGCGGTCCCACTCGGATGGCTCATCCCAGCGGCTTGCTGGAGTGGTACGGCTGTCTTCAGCAGAAGAGCGACTTGGATGGATTCCCGCATCTCCGAGTCCTGGAATATCGACATGATCAATTGATGGATCCGTTATGGGTTCAGGATTGTCGAATGTGGCCGCTTTGAAGGTAACACCTGCAGTCGCCGGTTCAGGCTGCCTGTTACGGTGATGATCGTATCGCCAGCTTTCGTGCTCGGTGTCTTGTTCGATGTCTAGTACATTGATGTTGAACTGCTGGATCTCTGCGCGGTGCTTGTCCCGACAACTTGAGGTAAGACGAATGTGCTGCTTGATGGAACCCGATGTTGGCTTATGAGCTCCGCAATGTTTACAGAATGGCATTGCATGCAGAATGAGATGAAGAGAATCATCTGGAGGGCTTAACATCACCAGAAATGTACTGCGAGCGTGCCGCTTCACGTGGTTTTGTTGAACGGTCCTGTTGAGGTGCGCCACAAGCTCTCCTTTACCTCCACCTCATTCGCGTCTAATGGCACGTACATCGTATCCTGCAGAGAATGGGAATACATCAGGACAAGCAACCCACCGCACACATCAAGCTTCCCACAAGCGCCCACGAGACGACGGAATCGATGAAGGGAATGTTGTAGAGGGCCCACGGCGAAGAGGCGCGTCCATGCGCCAGAAACAACTTGGTTGGATCACGCCCTGTCCCTCTATGATACTGAGAAACTAACCACACATATCATAACAGACACGGGTGCAGCAGAAAGACAGAAGCGGCAGCAAGAGAACATGGCAAAGCAGAGGCTGCGAGACCGCCAACGCAGAGAAGCAGCGAATGATTACCAAGGTATCAGTGTCATTCATATATCCAGTCATCACTGACCTGCATTCAACTTGTCTCAATGCTATCGTAGCAGATGATCTTGATCTGGAGTCGGAGCTCGAGTATATGGAAGAGGAGCCCAGTACGCAAACACAGGTAGGTCATATTCACTCTGGACAATATCTGAATGCTCAGTATTGACAGTTCTCCACGACTACGGTCCTTCAGCCAACCACGGCGCTTCGTCCTATTGAGAATCAAGCTCCTATCCAACCTGTGGTCCATGCAACATTTAACTTACGTGCTTATTTGTGCTGACTCAGACCTTTCACAGCGGAAGAGTCTTGTCCGCACATCAGGGCATATCCCGAAGCGTCCCGAGCCCAGAATGATTAGCGCAGACAGGTCAAAGACCAATGTGCCTCACCGGTTCCGTCCTGGCGTGCTCCCCAGCGCGCACTTGCACAATCCTAGCAGCCTTGTGTATGCAGAAGAAGAGCTGGATGAACAGATGCAGGCAAGTCATGAATAATTTGTACGGTACTTCGACACTGAGTGTGGGCAGTTCTCCGCGACTACTATCCATCGACCAACCACGGTGCTTCACTCCGCTGGGAATGAAACTTCTATCCAACCTGTGGTTCGTGTGGCATTCATTCCATGCGTACTAGGTGTACTGACATGGTCTAATGCAGCGGAAGAACCCTGTCCACATATCAGGCCTTATCCCGAAACATTCAGAGCCCATATCGATCAGTGCCGACAGCTCAGAGACCACCGTGCCGCACCTGTCCCGTCCTGGTGTGCTACCCAGCGCACACTCGCATAATCATCTAAATCCTGTGTATGCAGAGGACGAATCTGGTGGTAACCAAGAATGGCATGATAGAGCCTCCGATGATCAAGAAGACACAGGCATGCTGCACGACGAAGAAGATGAGTTCGATTGGAACGCCCTTCCCCGTAGTTCATCTCCGTCAAGGTATGTACAAGGCTACACAATCAACTTGAGCTGACAATACAATCCCACAAAGAATTCATGTTGCTGAAAGTCGTCGAATGAGCAATGTCGCCACGGATCGCAGATCTTGGTATGGGAGCCATCAGACTACACTCCGATGTACTGACATGTCATAACAATTATAGCTCATCGCCTGTGCCGGCTCGCACTGAACTGCCGCCTCCTCGTGTTACCGCCAAGTCGCATCGACAACGGCCATCCTCCGATGCGGTACGGGTGGTGAAGAAGATGCGATCGAGCGATGGTACGACCGGGTCACGCGGGCGTCCTGTTGCTCGAGACTATGATCACGCTGGAAAGGCTGCCCTTTCATATGCACAATCACTCTACGACACATTCATCTGCACAGATTGTCCGTATCCATCCGCAGATCAGCAAGTGCAGTGGGCCAAAAGAGCATGGAGCCACGCGTGTCGTCAGAAAGGGGTTGAAGGTGATCTGACGGAGGATTTAGTGAAGCTGGTACGTGTTTTCGTGTCGTTCTTCCCCAACTAGACTTACTACGAACGGAACAGATTACAAATCGAGGCTCACATATTCGTGGGTCCATCCGGGATGCCGCACGTCCTCATGTCAAAGGACAATATGGCCTACGACCACCCAGCAAGACCAATCCCACGATTACACGGCTCAACCGTGATCGCGTCGAACTTTTGAAGGATAACGCAAGGTTCTACTGCGAGGTACGATAATCCACCTCAACTATGCATCGCGGCTGAGGTCAGCATTTTGATCAGAATCCAGAAGCCGAAGAGGGAGAATTTGAACATCCAGTGATACAAGATGTGCTCAACTCTACGTTATTCAAGGATCGTCTTTCGCCCGGTGTCATTCATCAGCAATACTTCACTCCCGAGCTGCCGCTGACGACACTGGCACTGATTCTCACTGCTGTATGTGACCTTCTTCTGTGATGTATTCTTGGATTGACCTGCCATATAGATCGAATGTGTTCTTGACGAGTGGAAGACTGGTGAAGAGAAACGCTTGAACTTCTCGGAGAAAGAGTACAAGGATGTATTCGAAGAGCACTTGGCCGCGCTCGAGCAGTGGCAGAACCGTGTTCCATACGGTATGGCCACAATCAGACGTGGACTCACCGAGAACGCTCGGTACGCCACGTCAACGTTTACACCCGTTGCGTCCTATTAACATGCAGGAAGGCTCTATGCGAAGGCTCCAATAGAAGCCCAGCCGACCCATGTCCGGTCGCTTCGCCTTGATGAAAACCGGTTGGAGGCCGCTGAGCGCCGCTGGGAGGCACGCCGACAGATCGCAGAAGGAGGTCACGATGCGGCATGATGCCATATAGATAGATTGTTAGTATGTCTACACAATACAAAACGTTACCTATCGGCTATAGGTGTATCTGCGGTGCAGAGGTAGCATAACGTCAGCCTCTTGCACCTCCGGCCAACCTCTGGCAGCGTCTTGAGGCACGCGTGCACCTCCAGCGCATCTGCTGAGGTCATACGTTGCCTCCTGAGACCTCTAGTGATGGGGGATTCCTCCATGCCTCCCCAGCCTCCCGAGGACGTGGGAGGTATCCGGAGGAACTGTTGCGATTCCAGATGAATGCGGTGATACCGCTGCGTGCATAGAGGCCCAAGCCACTTGGAGCGCTCACGAGGGAACGGGTACGTGAAACCGTATTTCTGCCTCATCCGATCCTCCTGATCATAGAGTGCCGGCTGGATTCCGCTCGCGGCGAAGGACATGCGTTTTCATCAACAATACAACGAACGCATACGCCTGTCGAACCTTACTTCAAAAACGACCTCAATATGTCCTACTACGCGCTTACAGTACCACGGGGCATGAGTCTCACTCTCAAGCATGCTTCTGATAACATATCCTGCTTTGTGTCTTCGGGCATCTCCTTTCCCGTTTCTTCTCTGCCCAGCCGCTACTATCTCAGGTTAGGCCTCGTTGCGCTTCACATGAGGCTTGCGAACATGCCTCTGGAGCTCATATGCCTTCGTTTGCCATCACGATTGGCTCGTTTTCACTTCCTTTGGCCGGGTTCAACCTGTTCAACAAACTTGGCTGGGTGCGGCATCTCACTGTCCGTCATCGATGCGGTTTCCCAGATCTTGATCTGTCGAACGTCCATATAGACCCTGGTTTGTCGCTCGGACGTCCACATCAGCGCTTTTGCTGCTTCCGGCCCCGCACTCTACACTCATGGCCAGTAACGATACTCATTCCCCGGGCGTTATAGCCTGTGCCAGCATTGTGGAGGGATACTTCCACGCTCTGAAGCCCGATGAAGTCGCCGATCACTCACACAAGAATCCATTCGACATCGTTATCATCGGATCTGGCATGGGAGGCGGCGTGCTTGCCTCCGATCTCATCGAAAAAAACCTGCAGCTGGCCGCGAATACGGCGTCAGTCACGTCCCAGTCGACCGTTGAGGATGTCCAACGACTCGCCAAACACCTTTTCGAGTCGATCGCGCAATTTGCCGAGGGAGACCATACCGATCTCAAGTTGTTCATCTCCGCCGTTCGGGTGGGAGCTGCGGCCCTCTGCGATATTATCGTACGCTCATCTGTTCCTGACTATCAAATCGCACCAGAGGCCCGCAAGATGCGGGAACAGGCTGCCGACTTGTTTGAAAGGATTGCAAATGCCCTCGTCCAAACCCCGAACGATAAGTCCGCTATCGCAGCGCAGGCTGCTGACTTGATAGCGTCTCTCTCCGGATTCGCATCAGGTGTCGTCACTGGAGACCTAGAGACAGACATCCAACAAGAAGCAGCGGATGTTTTCAACTATGTCGTATCTTGGCCTGAGAGTCCTGAGGTTGGCTGGACGAAGAGAGATCTCCCGGGGGAAGCTGCCAAGCTCTTCGTAAAGTGTATCAAATACGTAGGTTTGGCTGTGTCATTCTACAGACTCGCATCGCTGACTTCGTCCAATAGCGTGGCCGGCCCAGAAGGATCCTGATCATTGACAGGGGCGGCCTGATCTTCCATTCGCATAGTCTGAATGGCCCTCAACCCACGCACAATCCTGCAGATCAGGCCAACGACACTTTTTTCCGTCGTTTCCGGTGTCAGTTTGCGGAAAATCCCGAGCGTGGAAACTGGAACGGAGGAGCTGTCTTCACCCTAGGAGGCCGAAGCACAGTATGGGGCTTGTTTATTCCCAGGTATGAGCAGACCCGATTACGGAGGCCGTTTCCCGCCAGGTCTGTGAGGTGGCGTGACGGGACGTGACGCGGCATTGTTGTCACACTGGGCCATCTTTGGCATCCTGTGGCCATCGCGGCTACTGTGCATCCACCCCTAATGCAACGCATGTTGCATTGGGGTTATATCTCCCTCAAATCAGCTTGAAATTGTCCGAAACTTTGGTAGTATATAGCCAGGATGCTATAGATATGTCATCCAGCGTCTCAAATATTTTGGTTGAGCCTCAACTCTGCCAGCGAGATGCCGGCGAGACGAAGTGAGCACCAGCCAAAGTTGCGAGATCATCACACGCGGTCACGATTTGCCGAGGTGCCGAACTAGGACAGGCTGCAGCGCAACGCAGGGCTCAAGCGGCTCAGGCCAATCAACGCAGGCGGAGTTTGAACTCATCCGTCACGCCAACATCGTCCTTTGTGTTGAACATCCTCCTACAGCGGCATTATTACAGCAATCGCAAATCGGGATGGCGTAGCAGATAGGATACAAGGTATTGAGTACTACCAAATATTTCCATGAATTTTGCGCTACCGATCCGGCGAAGCGAGGCCGTGGAGTACTCGCGACATGTTGCATCAACTCACTCGAGCAGTCCTAATGTTTTTCTGTAGCCCGAACCAAGCCTCGTTCCTACTTCATCTCTTACATACAGTATTTATAGATGTTTGAGAGTACATATATTTTTTTCCGAGACAAACAGCTGAGCAGGAAAGGAACGGGAGAGGGATTTGTGTCGATGTTGCATTAGGGGGCGATGTTGCATTAGGGGGCGATGTTGCATTAGGGGTGGATGCACAGTAATCCTTTCCCTCTAGATACTGGACCCCTGTGCTGCGCCAAATCTCTCCTTAATATTTCTCTTGTAAAACAATATCATAACAAGAGATGATACAGGAGAATATCGAGAAAGATACCATTGTGACCGCCCTTGTGCACTGCCACAATACCAGTGCACTCGTGCGCCTTTCCGACAACCTTCGTCTTGTGAATATAACCCAGCGACTGCGCCGCTCGCGTACCGCAGTCATATACATGACCCTGAAAATCGTCGCGTAAGGGATCATGAAGTCGTCGTCTTTGTCGATGACCAGCTGCCGGCGGCGGTGGAGCTGCTCTCGACCCTCAGCCACGTGCGTGCCTCCGCCTTTTGCGCATGTCATCCTCCCGCGAGCCGCCGCCGACGCTCACCCCGCGCCGGCCGAGCTCGTCCAGCTCGCGCTTCGCCCACGCCAGAAAAGTGACGGCCGAGCCCGCCTCCCCGCGCGCCGCCCGACGCCGAGCCCGCATCGACGCCGAGCCACTTGTGCGCCAGCACCGCGTGCAACGTGTGTTCGTCCGCCAAATACCTTCTCAGCTCGCTCGCGACTTCGCCCCCTCCGGCGCCGTCATCGTCCGCGTCTTACTTCCCGAGTCCAAAAGGATGTTTCGGCTTGTGCGACGCGCCGGGCGTCTTGGCAAGCTCGAGCGCGGAGGCGTAGGTCTCTGCGCACTCGAGGTGCAGCTTCGCCACGAGCACCGGCGATGGGTGCAATTTCGGGAGCGGCGGGCCCAGCGAGAACGTGCTTTCGACCGTCGCCTTCGTGAGCAGCTTGTGGATCGCGAGCGTCTGCGCGTCCATGAGCGCCATCCTGCGGGAATGTGCAAGCCTCTTTGCTGGTAACAATCCAGATGCAGGGAATAACGCGCACTTGGAGAGGCCGATGGTGACCTCCCTGTTCAGATCGGGAGGGCGGGAGATCCCTGGCTTGCCGGCGATCCCCTCCTCCCACTGCGGAAGCACGGCTTCAGACACGTACGCGAACACGCCGCTCGCACGGCATAGCAGTGTGACGGCGAAGTTGAGCTTGTCGTCCTTCACCCTTCGCTCCTGCTCGGAGAGGGCGCGTGAGCGATCATAGGCACCTAGGGCAGCGGCAGTGGCACGGGCAAGATTAGAGAGCGCAATGGTGTTGCGGGTAACTCTCTGTACAGAAGCACGAGCGGCAGCGTTGGCTAGCCGAGAAGTACCGTCGATGTTGGTCTGGAGTTTGCAACCGAAGCCGTGTCGTCAAGGTGGCACTAGCAAGCGGCTGCAGAGGCACAATTACCACCCATTCTCCACGGTTGACTAGGTGGTGTTGCCAAATGAATGCCCGCACAGAAATCAGTGCACGAAGGAGATCATCCAGTCGACCCTGGCGGAAGTGTAGGTTTTGTCCCTAAACGATGCAGCGAACAATCTCCCTGACCCCGTAAGGTAGGGCAGGAGATTGAGCGAATCCGCGAGCGCACGAGTTTCGGCAACTCGCTCGGGGATCAGCTCAGTGTAACCGCCGGGTCCGGACCCATCTGTGAAAGACACGTCCCAAACGTCAATGATCCACGAGTACTTGTGATAACAATATGGCTACCTATCAGACTCATCGTGCCGTTGGACTCGGGCCCATACACTGGGAACCGAGGGGAAGTAGCATAGGTATTGTTGAGCCTGGACCCGCGTCAGTACACATACTATGGTTTGTATACAGATGTGTAAAAACCTTACCGAATCAAGACAGCCTCGATTGATTGCCAGCCGTTGCCTGCGTCACCCTGATCAATAGGGGTACTGAATAGAGAGTGACCAACTCCGTTATTGGAGAATTGTACTGTTACGCGGTGCACACGTCAACCATGCGCAGTTTTTCCAGGGAAAGAATATACAAACCGCCGTATAGGCACGACCTGAAGAGGACGTGTTCTGGGTCATGTCAAGCGCTCGCCCGGGTGCACGCGCCTCATCACCGCACAAATATACAACGTGGCCTGTAGTAAATTCATTTCAATTGATGTTTACCTACCATAAATGCTTTCTGCTACGTGCGTATGTATTTTCGCCTGGCCACAGAGGGGTCTGCTAGCGGGTATACCGTTGCTGCGGTGGGTGGCCAGCAGCGTGACAGCGCGTGGCGCTCACTGGAGACCTGGCGGGAAACGGCCTCCGTACCCGATGCATTCTACGTGGAGCTGATAAAAGAACTTGTCCTCAGGATCACGAGCGACACCTTGTGCGGCCACTGGCCCCAAGAAATTTGCGACGATCTTCTACTTAACCCTGCGGCTTCGTACTACAGAAGGGCCGAAGGCGCATTGCGACTTTCGTACCCAGTCTCTCTCCCTCTTCATCAACTCCTCATCGATAAGCTGAACCTCTGTATTGACGACTCGCCGGAGCAGCGAAGCGCGGCATGGCCTCTCCCCACCCCGCACTGGCAGTGGGGTAGAGTGGCCTCTCGGTTCAGGGACGATCGCAACTTCACCTTCGCGGAGGGCGCGTATAGCACAGTGGACCGTCTTCTGACAACAGCCATGGATAACCATCCTGAGAAAGATACACCTGTTGACCTCGACGAGGTTCCCCCTGGCGGCGCCCACGTGATGGTCAACGCGCAAGTACACCGCCTCGAATCACAGCCTGGGAGCAACACGGCGGGTCGACCTCTCGCGCGTGTTGTGGTGAGGCATGACGGAAAGGACTTCAAGATCCATTGTCGACATGCTGTCTTATGCGCCGGCAGCGTCGAAAGCGCTGCCATCTTGTTACGAAGCGTGGACGGCGATACTAGTCAGTATGGGGGCAATTTCACAGAGGAATTCGGGCGTCTTACAGATCATCATATGCTCTATGTGACGCTGCCATTCGTGTATCGGAACATGATGTACAGAGACATGCTCGGTGGCATGAAGCTCCAGACGGATATCACGTTTCGTGATAAGGAGGGCAAACCCCAAGGGACCGCACTCGTTAACATCTCCGTGGACGCTGAATCCTTCCTACCTCGAGGATGTCTTTCTGCCACCCGATTCCCGCAACTCGTCATCGTCTACATGCTCCCCACTTGTCTGAATCCAAACAACTCCGTCAAACTCGATTCGTCTAGACAACACCCCGTCATTGACGTTGACTTCGCCAAGGTTCCCTATCTGGAAGAGAAGAAGGAGGTCATGCGCAGTTTCGCCCTCGCGTCCATGAAGGCGATCGCCACCACGCTCAATCTTCAATATCTGGAACAGACAAACGTCGGCTCTTCTCCACATGTGTTCAATCTTATCTCGCTTGAAGATCTGGACAGCAAGGTCAAACTTGGCACAATTCCTCTCGGAACCGTCGCCCACGAGTTGGGCACTATTCCAATGCCTGACCACGACAACAAGGGCGGGATCGTTGACCACGACTTGAAGATGAAGTACGGGTGGAGCAACGTCTCCGTCTGCGACCTCTCCGTTTTCCCGCACTCGCCTGGCGCGAATCCCTCCCTCACCCTAGCCGCACTGGCGCTCCGCCATTCCGACTATCTCATCCCCCCACGCCAGGTGCTCCGCACATCCCGGCCCATCCGTGTTTACAACATGACGCCCATCGATGTCTACGCTCGCGTGACCCTCTCAGAGAACTCATCAGACGCGCAGGCCATGGGGCCTCTGGAGTCTGTGATTGCGCCGGGAAATTACTGCGAGTGGAAGCGGCAGACGAGGGAAGCACTGTTCGTGTACGCTGTGCCACGGCCTACCCCCTTGCTTTCCGTGTGGAGTGAACGGCCCCCGTCTCAGCCCGATTTCTCGGTCCAGGCCGTTTGGCCCGGGACTGTCGCACTCATTGTCGCGCCACCCCCAGCGCCAGTGGTGCCTCTCCCTCACCCGTCTCCGTGGGGAGAAGGACACCCCGAAGGCTTGGACGGCCTCCCTGTTGGCTTCGGCGATAAATCGACGGGGCCCATCTCGTATATCAGTACGCAAGCCTCGCGATCATCTTCTATCCACTATCCTGTTCATGGTGCGTTCTGATTACCTTCCGAAATTCGTAAGTCTCACTAATGTCGCGAAGGGCAAGCGCAAGGTCAATACCAATGATGCGCCGTATGGATCGCGCTTAGGCTGGTATTGAAAGTTTGGACGTTAGCACTCATTGTACGATGCCTGCAGACTCCCTGGATGCCGATATGTGGGGCAAGTTATGTGATCAGTATGTCAGACATGCAGCCATCATTGCCCACCAGAACCGTTGCGAAGAATGCTCGTCCCGAGAGTGTATTCGATCACGCCCCTCGAGAGTTGAGGTACTTGCTGGGATGCTGTATAAGTATGCTCCCGGATGATCGCCACCCTAAGTGAATATATAAGATGGAGCGTAATCTCGCCGGAGTCGCTCGCCGACCCCAAGCGATGTGATAATATAAAATCAAGCACTGCCCAGAACGTCTCCACGACTCATCGATCACCAGTTAATGCAGCCAAATGCATACGGACAGCCCGCGACGCTGTTGGCGCGAGAGCGGCGAACGCTACCCAAGTATCACCGACTCCTGATTACATAGTCGAGTGCTCGCTTCATCGCAACCGTCTTCACAGCGTCGTGTACTTTTGTACCACCCGGCCCCAGCGCTTTCTGGGCACCGGCATTCATCTGCTATGACACACCGCGAGCCTGCGATCATACAACCAGCGACAGACACTATGGCCGCGATCTAGCGTTCTCGTGGGTAATCGCGACCTATAGACCAAAAGCTGTTTCAACGGCTCATATACTCAAACGGTTCATCAGCACTGGCGCGTTGGGAGAGCGTTGGGAGAACTGAGAGCACGAGCGAAACGACGTTCACCACAGACAAGGATATGTTGAGGGTTGGTCACGTCCAACTCGTAAGGGGTGGTCGTGTCGACGGAGGCGACGTGTTTGTTGGCGAGGGCGAGGATTCTATCACTGGGGTCGCCGTTGCTGGCCTTCATCTCCCGGATCAGGAGCGTGAGAGTGCCCTGCGCATCATCGGACTGCCTGGCGATGGGGATGCCGAGGCCAGTGTTAAAGGGGTGGTTGAGGCCGAATATGGGACTGGTGTTGTCCTCGACGCTCATCAGAGGCGGGCCGACCAGCCTTTCGACCGACCCTTCGTACCACTCGACGGTGACATCGTCGATCTGGGATTCAGCGAGGATGTTAAGGATATCGGGCGTGGCATCGCGAACAGCCTCGGCGTTGGTGGTGTTGGGACGAACCGCGATCCATACCACGACTGGGCCCAAAGTTTCCTCCTTGCCATCCTCGACGGTCGAGAAGCGCACTGTCTTCAGCGCAGAGTACTTAAGGCCATGGGCCTTCATCGACGCTAGGATCTGAGGAGCGACAGTACCCCACACAGCGTTAAGCGGCGTATTGAAGACACCATGGGCAGTTTTCTGGGGGATTTTGAAGGAGCGGGCGCCAAGCGCGGGGAGGGGGAAGGGGTTGGACTCGAAATCGGAACGCCACATGAGTTTGGGAGGGTTGTCGGAAATGCCATGATACCAGTAGGTCATCTCGAACTTGGAGATGAGTGCGGGGGAGACGACGGTGAGGGCTTCTGAGTCGTTACTGAGCCGGGAGTAGAGGGTATCGGCCTCGCTGATGGTGGGAGAGGTGGGAAAGGTGGGAGAGGCGGGAAACGTAGGAGAGGCCACAGTGTCTTGTGGGGGAGCCTGGGCTGGGTATCTGCGATTGATACAGTCGATCATGAAGCAGGTCGAGGCTGGAAAGGCAAAAGGATGTGAGTACGTGGGAACTGAAACGCGCAAGAAAGAAGATGAAGAGACTTACAGCCAAGGTTCGTGGGATCAGCCCTCACTTTGTCAACCATGACTCTGACACCCGGAGCAACGTCTACAAGGTGGACGGACAGTCATAAGTGGTAGATGAATGTGTGTAATGACGAAGCAGCTCACTTGGGCCCAAGAACGCGAGGGTTGTGGCCTCTTCCTCGGTCAGGTCGACGATCTCTGCGGGAAATACTCAGCACTGGTAACGAAGAGGAACGACGGGCTTCACTTACTCTTGTTACGATAAGCAGGATCCATTGCGGCAAAAAAACAGTTCACGAGAGGTGGTAGTAAGAAAGCGTAAGTGAGTAACTTGTCGATGGGGGACGAGTTGGGGAGAGATGGGAAAACGTGAAGAGGGGATTCTTTTTAGGGCCTGTTCGGTAGCAGGTCCAAACAGCGCTGAACGGCGTTCAGCGCTGAAAAGCTGATAATCGCGCATGACGGCGATGTGACCTCCGGTGACCGTCACAATCAGTCACATGCCGCGTTGCGTGTTTGTACGCGCCGTTCGTCGTCGCTCGACTCCTACGGACCTGCGTGCTCGCAACAACCTACCACTTCACTGTCATTACGCGGAAACACCTCTATGGCTCGTCGCAAGCAGTCTCCAGGTCCCGAAACGCCTGCTCAGTCCCAGGAGTCTTCGGGCAGAGTCCACTTTACCGATACAGATGTGCAGATGCTGCTCAAATGGGTCTCGGACAACCGGGAAAAGGCGGGCGACAACATGCTTTTTCAAGAGAAGCATTACGACGAGCTGGCTACAAGCCTTAACACGACTTGCACCAAGGGGAAACAGAAGTCAGCGAGGTCGTGCAAGAACAAATGGCAGGCCGTGTGTTTTGTGTGCTTGTGCCGTTTGTTGCTCGTTCTGACTTGTCTTTCCAGCTCAGGGACACGTACAACACCATCAATGACACCTTGAATGACAAGTTATCGGGGTTCACCTTCGATTGTAAAACACTTCTTCGCAACCAGCGTTCTACGTGGCCTTGTTCTTGGCTGTCCTAGTACTGGCGAGCTCCGTAGCGCCTCTTCGGCACCTGTTAACTGAATGCGCCTGCGCGGCGCGGTTGGTATAACGCCTCTTCGGCGTTGACTGAGGGATGAGGGCGCCTATCGGTGCCGATAACGTTAACGCGTCCAGCCCATAGCTCAGAGCACCTTCTGTGTCCTTATGACCAGGAAATGCGAGAGCGAGCTAAGTGGGCGACGACGACGATGATAGACTAAGACTAAAGACTAACTTACACGTGTCGAACTATTCTACTAAATCAAGCCCATAAAAGGCAAGTCCCTCCTTCCAGTGTCGAAGTCGGGGAAGTACCAGCGACGCACCAAAAGTACGTCACATCGATCCTCACACCGGCGCCCATGTTACTGCGGAATCAGATGCACCATGGCGGGCCTATTGCAAGGTATGCCATACAGAAAATATCTCGATGGCGTCTGAATGCCCGTAAACAGAAATAGCCAAAGATTAGTCCTTTCCGAAATAAGGGCTGGGAGTGGTGGGAGGATATGATTGCGCTTATGCCCACTCGTGTCCGCGGAGCAAATGTCTTCCGCCCAGGGGCTACGGCATCTGCTGATGTCCCTTCTTCGTTGGAGGATGAGGCCGATGATGAGGAAGAACCAGTCGCGGAGCCAGAGGTCGAAAATACACCAAACCGGGCAAAAACACCATCTGAAAAAATCTAGATCACTATATGGCACTACATAGTCCCATATAGCCTCCATAGGTCCATAGCGATGTCCTTTGCTACCCATGCTAAATATCCACCAGCCAATGCTATCATAGTGCTATAGGTGCTATAGAGGGTACTGTCATGGCTATAGTAGCTATGTAGGGCATACCTCAGTGCTATATAGCTCACACATCAGTACTACTGCAACTATATATCCTATGTAAACTCTACAGCAATCATATGCTCAATAGATGTTGTAGTCATCAGAGTATAATTACTTTTATTAATTTATTATATATCACTGGTAATCATTCAAATTCTAGTAAAGAATTATTATTTTTCATGATATTTTAAATAAGTTACAAAAGCGTATCAAGTAGTGAAAGTATTGATTATGTAAGCACTACAGACATTCGCAAGGCCTACTGGTCGGTCGGGATGGCCGAGGCACCCTTGACGTTGCGCAGGGCGTGGATAGACGCTCCGACGCTGAGCTCTCCAATTCCGCTGACGGGGAGCGACGGTGCTGCGCTGTCCTCGTTCGACGCGCCCTCGGCGGCATTCTTGACCGGAACCTTGGCAAAGCCGATGCGGATCGCGCCGACGTCGCTACCAAGGATGTCACGCCCGTTGAGCGCTTTTCGGGCACGCACAGCGTCGTCCAAACGCTCAAAGTTAACTAGCGATGAACGGAGAATTAGTCACTAAACACTGGGAGTAGGCCAACACGTACTGAAGCCGCAGTTCTTGTGAGTGAGAACACGCGCAGACTCGATAGGACCATAAGGACTGAAGACACTCAGGATCGCCGCCGGAGTGGTCGTCGACGGGATGGATCCAATCCACAGAGTCCGGGTCGGGGTTGACTGCAGCTGAGCGTCCATGCCACTCACGCCCGACGGCGTGCCGGGGGACTTCGTCAACGCGCCCGGAGTCGTCAGGGTCGGGCTACTGACGTTGTTGCCCTTGCCGGAGCAAGCGGCGCACTGTCGGCCTTCCCGAACCTGATGCGTACCGAGCAAGGAGCCGCATTTGGCGGCTCTCGCTCGGCGTCGGACGAAGGGGGGGCCAGAGGTTGGGAGGCGACGCCGAGCGCGACCGCGTTGGCGGCTTGCGCTCGGCGTCGGGCGAAGGGGGGCAAGAGGAGGGAGGCTGGCGGGGAGGCAGGAGGCTGGCGGGGAGGC